ATCCCCCGCTGGGGGCAAGGACGAGGGTGGAGGTGTGAAAGAAGAGTGACAGGCTAGCAGAGAGGGAGTTCAGAGCAAGGGTGCGTTGTGTTAGTGTGAGGAGCATCCAGGAGAAAGGCTAAATGTGTCTGTGTGAATACACCACTGCACTTGTAGTGTATAATGTTATAATGAAATCTGACAGCGGGATCTCCAGCAACATAAATGGCCTCCTCATATTGCAGCCTTTAAAGCAAAGATAAAACAATGTACAGTGGCGTAGGCACACCGCACTCTGTCATCTTGCCGTTTGCGGAGAGATGGGCTCAGGTGAGGCCACCCCTTGGTGGGCCTACCTGCGACCCTCTCACTCAAGCAGGTGCCATCACAAGCAGCAGGTGGGAAGGAACTATCCACAACCCCACCACTGCATTGCCTCGCTGCTGCCTCTGGCGGTGCCTCCCTCCCCAGCCCCATGGCTTACCCCTCTTCTTCCGTGTCTAAGAACTGACAGATAAACCGCGGTCTGGCAAGACATGAAAAGCATAGTTAGTAGTAGTGTGGGAAGATGATATGCTGCTATCTCATTTTTTTTTACAAAACTACTTCTACTACTATTCTTGGGTCTTTCGGTAAAGTCATGTCGATAGGTTCAAAGACAATTATAAAAAAATATCAGAAAACTACGACAATTCGATCGCAACACAAGCGGTCGTCTTCAGGAAAAGGGGGGGTTAGCTTCCAAGAGACACTGTTTATAAGGGCTGAAATGGGCGTAGCCCAAATGTCAGCAGCCAATGACAATGTAAGTGTTCTGCAGCGAGCCCGGCGGTGGGTCGTTTTCCACCAAAGGGCTGCCAGGTGAAAATTAGCATGTTAAAGAGAGATTAGCATGTTAATGGGGGATCAGAGCCGCAACCAAGGGGTCGGCGCACCAAGTGATTGTGAAAGTGCAAGTTTTAAAAGGGGGCGTAAAACACAACTAACATCGGAAGGTGGTAGGATGGGAACATCATCGCCAATTATGACAAATTGGTTGATAACGTCCTTCCAATGATTGCTCAGTTTGTACCCATCTTCTCGGTTGAAATTGTGTCTGTGTCTATATATATGGATGGCTTCATGAACGATGTTCCCATCCTGCCACCTTCCGATGTTAGTTGTGCTTTACGCCCATTTCAAACTTGTGCTTTCACAGTCACTTCGCGCGCCGACCCCTTGGTTGCGGCTCTGGGATCTGCCATTAACATGCCAATCTCTCTTGATTTGAAGCTTTCGTGACTGCAGGAATCCATACTCTTTGGTTCTTTCGGTAAAGTCACGTAGGTATAAAATAAATCACGACGTTTCAGCAGCAGATCATGCTTTCCCACCTGCTGACGGATGCTTGTGTTGCGCCCGAAACGTCACGATTTATATTATTTTATACCTACGTGGCTTTACCGAAAGAACCAGAGTATGCTAATCTCTCTTTACTATGCTAATTTTCACCTGGCAGCCCTTTGATTGGTGGAAAACGAACCACCGCTGGCTCACTGCCGAACACTTATATTATCATTGGCTGCTGACATTTGGGCTCTGCCCATTTCAAACCCTTATGAACAATGTCCCTTGGAAGCTAACCCCCCTTTTCCTGAAGACAACTGCTTTTGTTGCGATCGAAACGTCGTAGTTTTTTGTTATTTTTTATTATATTCTTTGAACCTATCTACGTGACTTTACCAAAAGACCCAAAAATATGAATTCCTGCAGTAACGAAAGCTTTAAGTCAAGATTTACTCATACTACTGTACACGTATTTAACGTAAAAAAACGTGATACTTGTTTTCTCTCTAGATTATTTTATTGCAATACAGTGTTACAAGATTTGCAATATCAGCTAGCCTATTTTTATTTCACGACAAAACAAAATAGGGTGTCCACACACGAAGCTCGGCCAGGTCTGGATAGTGCGCAGAAACATGCTGCCATCTGGACATGCTACTAGTATATCTCCCGTACCAGTTTACAGCACTCGGCAATAAAAAATAGAGACTCTCCTTATGCCAACAATGTACTTCTTTTACACCCTGGTGCAGCAAAGCATCTAAAAGCGAATACACGGAATGATGCTGCTCAGTTGCAGAAGCCCTTTGTCTCTATCTCACACACACACACGGATATTGCTTCACTCGATGCTAACGGGGAAGGGAAAGCAACAACAGCAGTACCAGCAGGGTTTAAACCTGTCCGCTAGGGTCTAGGGCCACATTATCATCATCATTATGTACAGTGCATATCCTAACTTACCAACAGAATTCCCATCTTACAAGACAATATATAGTTCTGCACTTTGTTTTACTTTAAGTGTGTTACCGAAAGCAACGTCAGAGATAACCAATGGCGATGGGTGGATGTGGGTTACTGTACTTGTTGAACTTGGGTTGCCAATTACGTACCCAATCTATTTAGTCAGATTAACACGTAGGCTTTCGCGACCAATATTATCCATAACATAGGGGTTTTTGGGTTAGATCGCGTATATACAAATGTGCCGTTAAACCCACCACCACCCAACACAGCTAATTAGTAAGGTTTGTCACATGAACAAAACATGCCAATTTGTGACTCGCTCAACATGTAAATGTTGTGGGTTTACTTTCCAACACACCAGTGTGCTGAACTAGAAACTACTTGTCATGGTTTTTTTTTACGTGACAAAGCTTACTCATTGGCTGTGTTGGATGGTGGCGTGTTTAACGACACATTTATATTTACGCAATCCAACAACCGCCCCCCCCCCCCCTCTATTATGAATCTAGTTCGTGTTTAACCAGGTGACGGCCCGGTGAGATTCATGGCCTTTTGATGAAGGACAACTTCGGAGACACCTCTGTTAGACAAGGACAGGGTTTTTACTCTTCGGTGATTCGCGACCAAATTTATGGGGCAATGATGATGTGCAAAGTCGACCTCATGCCAATGGTCTGAGTGGCAAGGGTGCTCTTTCTAAACTCTCCACCCTCGCGAGATGGAAGTGGGCAGTGCCCTCCTCAAGTTGAGATCTGTGTGTGTGTGTGCACGTGCGCTACCTCGATCAGCATGGCACGCTATGAAACCATTGCCGCATGAAAGCGTTGTGAGAACATTTACAATTAAAATGGATGTCTGCCAGAATCCGATTAGTGAGCATGACAGCAAACGTGTAAACACTTTACTATGTCAACGAGATGTATTATGTGTTTCATTAGAAAATTGTATTGTCATTTCATAATATTTGGATGTATCCCCATGGTCCCAGTGAACAAAGGGGGCGGTGCTAGGGTCGTCACTATCTTAAACAAAGACATTTCTCAGCCAATCTAGGTCTAGACATACTGCAATTTACTGCAATGACGTTCAACACACAAAGGCTAGTTCCAGATTGCGGTACAAATTGGTTCCTGCAGCCCGAATACGGATGCAAATTCTTGGACTGTTCAGTCGTGAGACAGTGGAGGGTATTTCACATTGCCCTGGTGACAGGGCCACTCATTACTCCCAAGCAAGTCACTACTATTATATTACTAGGTGAAGCCCATTGAGCTGGTATATTTTTCAGAGGCAATTTGGTCATACATGATAGCACATCGACTTGGCTTATGATGATATGTGGGCATTTATAGCAGCAGCCAAATAATCGAAACATGTTTCTCAATGTGGAGGGCAAAAATCGGAGGACCCAGAGAAATATACACATGACCACCACGGGCAGGTGTGTGTGTGTATGTGTGCTTTTACAGAACGATTCTTCAAAAAGTGTGAATGGTTCCACGAATGTATCGAGCCAGGTGGCAGAGAGCGGAATCAGTCGGCGATGCGATGGGCCACCGGAGGGCAATCCGTGCTCTACGCTCTACACTCTGTGGGCCAGCCCCACACATCGGCGGCCCTTCCCGTGGCTGCGGCAGACGATTGCAGAAACGTGAGGCAATAATAATTGTGGATGGAGGTTTTTCATTGTCGCCGAGTATATCACGTGCAGCTGTGCCGATGCACTGCTGGACGGAGGCGTCCTCGAGCCACGCACGCATCGGGGGTTATTCGACCGTACTCTCACAATGCTGGCCAATGCGGTTTGGGGAAGGGGGGCGGAGGGGGGTTTGAAGAGCCCAAATAAGAAGCATTTATGCTCCAAACAAATACAAAAAAATCCCCCGTATAGCCTTAAGAGACTATTGGGGCAAGTGCTGTTAGCGAGCACCTCTGAAGGCCGGGACAGTATACGAGGGGGTGGGTGGCCAGCACCATGCCCGACGGCTTTTGTCTCCCCAGTGGCGATTTTTACACACTGCACCAGGTACTCATTTGAGAATGTTGACCTAGGGGATGCCCAATGACCAGTTCAAATAATCGTCACTGGTGTTGGCCACAAGCAGGAATTTAACTCTGGTTGTCGGGTTCATAGCGCAACACGCTAACTGCTACACCACCGCTCCCCACTTGTGCTCCATTCATATACACACACACTGAAGTTGAAGTTTTAAGAAAGAAGCTGTCACCGGCAATGGCTCCTAAAGCCATGGTGCGTGTCACCATCAGTCTCTTCTGCCTGACCCTGCAGCTGTTGCAGAGGCAGCGCCGGACCATCGTCATAATCAACGTCACGTGTGCTGGTACTCGATGCCAACGCCTGCCTCGCTCAGCCGTTCGATTAACACATGGGGCGTGATTCATAATTGCCATAGGTTTAGGCCATTGCGTAAAAGATCTGAAAAGATTCACGTCGCAGGACCCTCCACCGACCCGACAGCCACACAAATGAAACTGTTGTGCAGTGTACGAGTATTCAACGTGCCAAATATCATTGTTTCAGCTCACTGGTGAGCTGAAGAACAATACTCACAAAAACATTTGAAACAGGTACGACGTTTCATTTGAAACTGTATCACAACCTCAGAATGGAACAAGTCAGAATAACAGCGTCACCTGACGTGACTTCTTCAAGAAATGGTCTCCTTTGGCCTGCTCGTGTCCCTCCCTGTGCAACCTCCTCTTTCCCACAAGATGATTACGTTATGTTGCGCCTCATTTCTATTAACTGAGGATGGATGATGATGATGAGTAAGGGATAAATCGACCCCCAAACCATCCCGGATTTGGCGAGCTTGTCTTTCCAGGCAATCCGGCATTCCGGGGGATCAGAGCATGGCCTCGCCACTACCTGGTCGCACGCCAGCTCTGCCACTATCAGAGCCACTCTGGCCAGTTCTCCACGCAGACTGAGACATGGTCGGAATAACTACCCATCTGATGCATAGTGAAATAACCAAATCTTCATGAAAAAAATGTAACTGCTAGAGTGGAGAATACCCAGTAAACGTCAGCAATGTTGGGTCAACGCTGGCATGTGGTTATAACCATTGGTCGGTAACAATGTTGATCCAACAGTTAATGTACGCCGGGTAATGGCCAAAAGCCCTTAGCGAATTGCGCCTATGGCATTACAGAAACCAGAGATCTATGGCTGACCTTCATAAATACAACAAACATTTGCCGAGAAGAACATCTTACAGGGTAGCCCCGTGAAAATGAATGCATTCCAATGAAGAACTGAAATCAATTCAACATACATCCTAATAAAGAATTCCATAGGAACATGGAAGCATTGCAAAGTGCTAAGGTCGTTTAACGTCAATTTTGGAGTCGTACCAAGCGTACTTAAAAAAAAGCCATTCCATAGATTTATTTGGTCACTTTCCTACCAAAAATTTGCCCATATTCATGAACCTCTACACCCCACTGAGCAGCTGCTCACACATCGAAGCCAGTTTATTGCAGAAACATTTTAAATAAGCCCATTATTGGCAAAGCATGACAGTACTTTAATTGAACCTCGTATATAACAATGTTCCATTTAGACAAATTACATATATGCAGGTGTGCAGTACACCTGCATGCTTGTGTGTATGTGAATATGTATGTCAGCGTGTACCTGTTTTGTATGTGTATACTGCATATAGAGTATGACGGGCGGTAAAAACATTTTGAGAACAAGATAGTAAAAAAACATATCCATCACCATGTAATTATTACACATTAGCCACTTATTTCTGATGATATTACTATGGGTGACTATTAAAAATAAAGTTCTGTAAGTTTAGTTTGTACATAAACGAATTTTATTATCTCATTCTCAAAATTTTAATTCGTTATACACAAATACATTCAACAAATGCCTATATATGTATAGATATAATGACTATTCTACATTAAATACAATAGTTTTTAGCTGCAGTAAGTGCTTTTAAAATGTCTAAAAGAAAAGTGTTTGGTTCATGCTTTTGGATCGTTACCTTTGTCGCTTGTGAGTGGTACACAAATGGCGAGGAGCGGTATTTGTAACTCATCAGTATTCATTAAATTCCACATTATTGCCCTGATTCCAGTTGTCTCGATCGAGTATCCCTCACCCTAACCCCTTTGTACCAGAACTCAAGTTCATGGTGGAACAGCATAAAAGTGAAGAGATTCAGTGTGACCCCAATATTTTTAAATACATTAGCTAGTTCTGTATATGTATAGCAAGGGTTAACGTGTCCGCCGATGGTCTTCTATGCGGACCTAAACAGTGCCATCCATGAGTATTCCAACCCCAAGCAAGCTCCGTGCACACGAGAGTCAAACTACATCTCCAGTGGTGCTACAAGGGAATCCACTTGAAAGCCAATTCATTATCGAACTGGAAGTTCAACGTGAGAGCAAAAGTTGGCTTAAAGCTTGCCTGTCATCAAACAACAACAAAAAATCCCCTCCTCGAACTTGCAAAGGCTCCTGTGGCTGTGAGCAATGTAATGGGATGATGTGCAGAGCCGGTTTTAAGTAATAAAGTGTGAAAAACGCAACTCTTTTTAAAAAAAAAATTCTGACACAAGTGGCTGCAGGAATCAAACAAATGTCGGGCGATTCTGGACCCCGTCAAAAGCTGAAGTTAAATAGTGCCACTTTGTTGAATGCAATTGATTGTTTTTTTTCCGGAAAGAGTTGTGCGACATTTTATGTTACACGTTGATATTTGCATAAACTTAGTTTCCTACATATTTTCTCGTCCAGCAGTGTCATTAAACCATTTTATTAAGTCGAAGAGTGTGTCCCACAGCAACCCTGCTTGCTACGATGCCCCCAGCACAAACAGATGTGTTGCCTCGCATACAGCAGGAGGCGTGAGAAAGGAACCGTAGCTCATTCGAGCCTACAGAGGGTTATACCACGAAGCCATTAAAGAAAATACATACCAAATATGTAAAATTATAGTAATCACCTTGATAAATATTCTTTCTGAAATGAGATCCCACGTAAACTTCACCTACTCTCGTAGGTTTTGCCTCAGGTGGTGTCCTTGACATTGTTGTCAAGTCCATTAAACCTCAGTTCGTCCAATTGTAAAGATCTTCCAGGGCCTACAACTGGCAATCGTCAACTTGTTCCACTGGAAGAAATGGAACAACGCTGCGTGTAAAAAAGAAGCACGTGTATTTCCTACGAAATTCCAGCCCCATGGTGAGATGAGCAAATGTGAAGCCAGCCGAACTTCCTTACAAAACAACACGAGTGCCTTAACAACAAACAAAAAACCTGTTAGTTTAATTTCACAGTTAAGAGGGGGACTCCCACCCCCCTCCCCCCCCCCCCCACTGGCTCTGGGCTGTAGCGAATGGGGAGGAGGTGAGTGCCGACGCACCGCCTCACCACTCACCTCGCCGCCTGCTACGCGGTCGAGCCGTGCCTTTTAGCAATGCAGGTCTACGGCAGGCAAGCCTGCCCTCAGTTTTGAAAGATCACCCCTTTCGTCTTGGGCACCTTGTTGAGGTAGGTGGCCCAATAGACCAGGTTGAAGGAGGCGAAGAGCAAGGGGAAGAGGATGCGGGACAGCTTGTCCACCTTGCTCACGCTGTTGTATGTCTTCTTGGGCTCCGCGGGTTTCGGCTCGGCAGGCTTCGGCTCGGCTGGGCCAGAGGCGGCTGTGGCAGACCGAGGGCCCGCGGTCGCGCTGCGGGTCACCGTGGGAACGCCGCTGTCCCGGGCGACTCCTTGCGGGAAGCTGGACGGGCTCACAGTATATGTGTTGTTGGTTTTCTGCGCCATGCTAGATTGCTCTTTTTTCTGCCACAAACATGACAAATGACAACAGCAGCAGCGGCAGCAGAAATGGCAAAACGAGAGATTCAGCAACGATTGCGGTGAGCGGTCCAACAAGTGTAGACGCTAACGGTGGTGTAGGGTGTACTGCCAAGAAGGAAAGTTTTAATGGCTTTGCCTGGTAGGATGGGGGTGGTTTAGGTTCATTTGTATGTGTTTGGGTGATTTGTTTACCTTGCTTGTACTTTGCACAACTACCCTGTTTTTGTACTGTTTAACGTTCTTACCTGCCCCGACTGGACATCTGTGAAAAAGAGCTTCATAGCTCATCGGATTCCTCCAGGATAAATACATGTTCTGATTCTGAAAAATAGAGGGGTTGCCCTCTGTTTCCACACAGTCTCTACGTGAGCAGGGCAGCGAGCCCGCTTTTCTCATCTTCCCTTATCCCATGGGCACCGAGTTCGGGGCTTCTGCCCCCTTATTACGGTTCACGCTCTTTATCGGGCTCTTGTCGGGAAAAAAACCCCAATAATAAATAAACGGAGGGTTTGGGATAGTGCAGCTTACAAGAATAAAAATGGTCGTGCATTGAGCCTGTAGAGAACAGTTGTTAATTTTGATTTAAAGCTTTCGTAACTGCAGGGATTCATATTCTTGGTTCTTTCGGTAAAGTCACATAGAAGGGAAACAATAAAATAATAATACTCTTTGGTTTTATTCGGTAAAGTCATGTAGATAAAATAAAACAAAATAAAACAATTAAATCACGACGTTTCGGAGGCAACACAAGCTTCCGTCTTCAGGTGGAAAAGTCAACGCAGAATATCTGTGTCAGGAGCACAGTTCAGAGACGACCTTAGATTATATACTGACGAGTATATCGTCAGCTTCCCTTCACTGGCAAGACCAGCTCAGCAGTACTCAACTCAACCCAATTGGTCTCTATGGTTAAGGACATTGTACTGTCTCCTGATGATATACTCGTCAGCTTTGATGTGGTCTCTCTGTTCACCAAGGTCCCAGTACCTGATACCATCACAATAATCGAAGATTTAGTCCAACATGGACTTGACCCCGATGTACCGGTTTTGGTTAAGCACTGCCTCACCAACACCTACTTTACTTTGATGTGAGCTCGCACCGGGGGACCCTTTGGTGTGGCTCACATCGAGTGGCCCTTTGATGTGAGCCCTTTGTGAGCTTGCACCGGGGGACCCTTTGATGTGAGCCCACATCGGGGGGCCCTTTGATGTGAGCTCTGAGAAGTGGGTGTTACCCGCAGCATTCTATCAAAGGGCTGCTGAGCCCAGTCCTCCCACCCACACACGCCCCCTTGCTGACTCCTTCCCCCTCCCTTAACCTGTATATAATCCAAGGTCGTCTCTGAACTGTGCTCCTGACACAGATATTCTGCGTTGACTTTTCCACCTGAAGACGGAAGCTTGTATTGCCTCAGAAACGTCGTGATTTAATTGTTTTATTTTGTTTTATTTTATCTACGTGACTTTACCGAATAAAACCAAAGAGTATGAATCCTTACAGTCACGAAAGCTTCAAATCTTAAATAATAATAATTTTCCACCTTTATGGCAATTATCTTCTTTGGTTCTTTCGGTAAAGTCACGTAGAATGAGAATAAAATAATAAATTGATAAAATAAAATAACACAATAAAATTCTCACGACGTTTCGGCCACAACACAAGCGGCCTTCATCAGGTGAAGGGACGAGACTGTCTGGAGGACAGCGCTGGAGCGAAAAAGCCATGCTCAGATCGCGACCTTTAAGCTGTGTGAGAAGAAACAAAGCGCCTTGACAAAGGAATTAGCATAGAATTTAGCATTGAAATAGCTGAGTGATTAGCTTATAACTGGTCGCAGAAATAGCTATGTTAAAGTCAGAGCATACACATTCACAGAGGCACCTAGTACAAATCAAACAGGAGAATTTAGCATTGAAATAACTGAGTGATTAGCTTGTGACTAGTCACAGAAATGGCTATGTTGAAGTTAAGGCCTACACATCTGAGCTATTCACAGAAACTGGGTATACACTACAATATATAATGAATACTATATAGTGAACCAATAAAAAACTAAAATATAAATCACCTCACTGTTATCAATAAACTCTATATATTCTCCAATCAGCTAAGCTACCAACAATAAGTCGTTATATATCGCAATGCTATATGGCAAAAAAAATGGGTGGATTCTTACCCTCAACTTTAGCAGCACGGATAGCTAGGGGCCCCGTTCAGACGGACGAGTTCATCCATGGTCAGAACAGAGGAGGGGGAGAGAGACAGCTGCGAGGCGCTGTTATACTCCATGTTGTAAAGCATACCATTAACCGTGGTGTGAGAGGTATTAAGAGTCAATGCCAGCGAAAGAGCTGCGGTCTGAAGGTCATCGTAAAATACAATTAATTAAGAACGGAAATGGTTTAAAAGATCTTTCCAATGGTTACTAAGCCAGAATCCATCTTCTCGGTTGAAATTGTCTCTGTGCTTGTATATGTGAATGGCCTCAAGAACGAATCTCTCATGGTAGCCGGTTGGTTTGCAAAGAACCTCCGTCTTGGAGAAGTCAATGTCATGTGAGCCCACTGAATTATAACAGTGATCTGCCACGGCAGAGGAGTTCGTTCTACCGTGTTTCAAGTCTGCTTTATGTTCGCGGATGCAGTCCGAGATATGTCGTTTGGTTTCTCCAATGTAGCTACTACCACAGAGGCACTTTAGTTTGTAAACGCCCGGGTACTGTATGTCTGGAACAACATCTTTTACAGATGGAACTAGAGCACGGATTTTATGTACCGTGTTGAATCGGACCTGGATCTCGTGTTTATTCAGGATTTTGGAGATCTTTTTAGTGACCCCTGCAATGTAGGGTAAGGTGATGGTTTTGAGTGGCTCCACAAGAGGATCCTTCTTCATGACTGGAGTGATGGCTTGCGGATTGTGTAGTCAGAGTAACCATTAGCCCTGAGAGCCTGGTGTACGTGCTTGAGTTCACTGGTAATGTGTTCCTGGTCAGAAATGCATTGGGCTCTATGGTATAGAGTCTTGATGAGGGAGTTCTTCTGGGATGGTGGTGGGAATCCGGTTTCAAGTAAGCATCTGTATGGGTAGCTTTCCTGTAGACAGAGTGGCTCATTGAACCATCATGTCTCCTTTTAATTAAGACATCCAAAAAGGGTAGTTTGCCATCTTTTCGACCTCCATGGTAAATCTGATGGCTGGGTGTATGGAATTGATGTGGTCGCGGAATTGGTCCAGAGCAGGCTGGCCATGTGGCCAGATGACAAAGGTGTCATCCACATACCTCTTCCATAAGGTCGGGCGTAGAGTGGCAGTCTGGATGGCGTCAGTTTCAAATTTTTCCATGAATATGTTGGCTACAACCGGAGATAGGGGGGAGCCCATTGGGGTGCCCTCAGTTTGTTTGTAGAAAGTTCGATTCCAGGTGAAGTATGTGTTGGTTAAGCAATGTCTCACCAGGGGGTTCATCAGTATGCAGTCCTTGATGAACCAGGTCTTCAATGATAGCGATGGTGTCAGGTACCGGGACTTTGGTGAACAAGGACACCACATCAAAACTGACAAGCAGGTCGTCTGGGGACAGGGAAATGCCTTTGATTGTCGATACCAGGTGAGTAGAATTTAGTATCGCAGAGGTGGTTTTTACAGTGATGTGGTGTCCTTGTTCACCAAAGTCCCGGTACCTGACACCATCGCTATCATTGAAGACCTGGTTCATCAAGGACTGCATACTGATGTACCCCGCTGGTGAGACATTGCTTAACCAACACATACTTCACCTGGAATGGAACTTTCTAAAAACAAACTGAGGGCACCCCAATGGGCTCCCCCCTATCTCCAGTTGTAGCCAACGTATTCATGGAAAAATTTGAAACTGACGCCATCCAGACTGCCACTCTCCGCCCGACCTTATGGAAGAGGTACGTGGATGACACCTTTGTCATCTGGCCACATGGCCAGCCTGCTCTAGACCAATTCCGCGACCACATCAATTCCATACACCCAGCCATCAGATTTACCATGGAGGTCGAAAAAGATGGCAAACTACCCTTTTTGGATGTCTTAATTAAAAGGAGACATGAAGGTTCAATGAGCCACTCTGTCTACAGGAAAGCTACCAATACAGATGCTTACTTGAAACTGGATTCCCACCACCATCCATGCCAGAAGAACTCCCTCATCAAGACTCTATACCATAGAGCCCAATGCATTTCCGACCAGGAACACATTACCAGTGAACTCAAGCATGTACACCAGGCTCTCAGGGCTAATGGTTACTCCGACTACACAATCCGCAAAGCCATCACTCCAGTCATGAAGAAGGATCCTCTTGTGGAGCCACTCAAAACCATCACCTTACCCTACATTGCAGGGGTCACTAAAAATATCTCCAAAATCCTGAATAAACACAAGATCCAGGTCCGATTCAACACAGTACATAAAATCCGTGATCTAGTTCCATCTGTAAAAGATGCTGTTCCAGACATACAGTACCCGGGCGTTTACAAACTAAAGTGCCTCTGTGGTAGTAGCTACATTGGAGAAACCAAACGACATATCTCGGACCGCATTCGCGAACATAAAGCAGACTTGAAATACGGTAGAACGAACTCCTCTGCCGTGGCAGATCACTGTTATAATTCAGTGGGCTCACATGACATTGACTTCTCCAAGACGGAGGTTCTTTGCAAACCAACCGGCTACCATGAGAGATTCGTTCATGAGGCCATTCACATATACAAGCACAGAGACAATTTCAACCAAGAAGATGGATTCTGGCTTAGTAACCATTGGAAAGATGTTTTAAACCATTTCCGTTCTTAATTAATTGTATTTTACGATGACCTTCAGACCGCAGCTCTTTCGCTAGCATTGACTCTTAATACCTCTCACACCATGGTTAATGGTATGGTTTACAACATGGAGTATAACAGCGCCTCGCAGCTGTCTCTCTCCCCCTCTTCTGTTCCGACCATGGA